TCTTTTATTTTTCGGCGACCCTCGGAAGTTCAGTGTGCAATCCGTCAGAACTAAAGAGAGAGAGTTAATTAAAAAACAGATTAACTCATATAATGCCTTCGTCAATTTGTCAAAGATAAAAAGAACGTTTTTCCTGAATATTTCAAGCAGGACCAAGAACAACTAATCGTTTCGGTATCTTTCGACAGATCTTTTTAAAATAAATTGATTTAATCGTCAATAAAGAGAGCTCTTGCGCCTTATGTGTGATCACTAATCGTTGCTTTTACCTACCCAAGGGAATTAATTAGTTTCTTTAGGGAAAGGCTTTGTTTTATCTCTGTATGAATGTCATAGTAGTTAAATAATGTATACATATCCATCTTTCCAGCAGGATTTTTTCCTTTAATTCTCTCAAATAAATTTTCCAAAATTTTACTACTGCTTTACCCTGTTTTAATCCCTTGTTTACATAAAAACCCTCGGAAAATCTCCCTTGACACCGAATTTTAGCGGAAGCCCCACTATAATTGCTACGATAAGTCCCCCAGTAAAACCAGATTTTTCCAAGCCTTCCCAGAGTTTCAGCAACGGTACGCTATCATAGGCTTTTTGAAGACTAACAAAAACTAAGTGCAGTTCTTGTCCTATTGCCATTATTTTCTCAATAATCTGAGAGACACAAAACAGATGGTAAATCGTCGATCCACCCGCTCTGAACCCCGCCTACATATTTTTCCCCCATCAATTTTAATGAGAATAATCAATGCAGAGTGTGCTAACTTTTCAGTATCATGAGTTAAAAAACGCTGGCTATGCGAGTATAAATTTTAAAGCCGAACAGAGCGGAGCGGCGCGCGTGCTGCCAGCGCGTAAGGCTCACTGGCGCCTACAAACCTAAGTGGATACTTCTCGCTTTGCACAATGCTTGAAGTATCCACTTAGGTTTGTAGGCGCCAATGCGCGTTTCGCGCTGGCCGCTCGCCCGCCGCGCGGCGGCGCCTGAAGTAACTATTTCACAACAAAGGTGTTGCACAGTATTATACGAAATTGAACGTACTAAGAATGACAGGCATCCTTTAAAAGTACAAATCTTTCCTCGCAAAATAAATCAAGATACTTAATCGTACACGGGAAAAATCTAAGAACCTTTAGCTGAGGCAAATCTAAAGGTTTATCCGGTTCAGGTATAACAAGGTGGGAATTTCTTGAAAGATAAATAAGTCCTGTTACACCAAAGAGGTACAGAGAGTTTTAGTGAATTTTGTCTCTTGGAATTGACGCTCCCCCATTTTTACCAAAACTCTCAACTGTATATTATTCTCCATTCTCCGACAAAACAAAAAAACAGGCAAACCCTCATTCTTCCAAGACATTATACATTTTCATCCAAAATCCATCGTGAGCAATTGTCGTTTGTATTTGCATATGGGAAAATTAACTTTGGGTCTCAACTGGCACGTGGACCAAAACTCCCGTGCCGAAAAAACGCGTGGACGTAAATTACTGGAAAAAACAGGTGCACGGACAAAAAATCGTTGACGAAATGTCCTATAACCTTAATGCAAATTTTTAGACCACTCTTCAAGTGTTTAACATGTGCCCTGTAAAGTAGCAACGGTTCTTTCGCTTTTTCAGTAATTAATAACGCAGCTTATGCGAAAAATAGGCGCGGATACATCTTAAACAGAGTCGCAAAACCCCATAAAAATCCTTAAAAAAACCGCGCAATGATTCTGGGGCCTAAATGTAGTCGTTGACACCGGTGGCAATGACTTTTATGATTTACCTTGGAAACTCCGTCATTAAATGGGAAACATCCGTGACGCACCGTATGCTAGCATCAGAAACCTTGGAAGAAAACACCAAAGTGAACTATGGGTGCTCCATTGCAAAACGATGAATTTCCCAATCGGGGTGTGTTGCATTATTTGTGGGCTATCCACCTGGATGACGGAGGTAGCTTCGAAGGAGACTGCCCTCCTATCTAGAAATCGCGTACTTCCGATGGAAACTGAGAGCAAATCTGAGGTTTCTGCCTAGCGTGGCAGGAGAGTCCTTAGAGCGATTAAACGGTGTGCAAAGTGTTGTGCAAGGGTCGAACTGGCGCTGCCGACCAGTTGAAAATCGCAGGAGCTCCTCGAATAGGTCTTGGATTCGAGATGCTTTTTCCGTTAGATCTGGCAGCGTGCGGTGCGGGGGCCAGCAAATCAAATTACAAATATATGCTGGCATTAATTTTCAATTTATGTCCTGATATAACTGTGTTTCCACCTGAATATTTTCGTTTAACGCGTTTATTTTCCTCCGCCGATCACTCATTCTATCGATTTTCACGAGGCAGGACGGTCTTTCCTGACCTTCGGGGGATCGACTGTTCCAGTCGAGTAAATCCAAAACCAGAGGAGTCTAGAGGCACGGATTAAACGCACTTAACAATTAATGAGTGTTGACAATGGAATGTGGAGATTTATGGAGCTATTGGCATCATACTCTTTACATTTGTTTATGCTTCCTTTTTATTTTCCAAATTTTTCATCTGGCCGTATGCGTTTAACATAAAAACCATCTAATAGTATAAAAAAACTAGGCTGCGTCTAAATCCGACAAGAAGAGAGAAAAAAAAAAAAATTAAAAGCATGCCCATATAATGAAAATTTGGATGCGCCTCATTTTCGAGTGTAGGGTATGCCAAAATAACCTTTTTTTGGAGGATGGATCATTGAGTCAGGCAGGTGAGGTTTAGGTGCTTCAAATTTTCCATTGGCCATACATTAAACACTTGCTCATTGGTCAAAACTTGGTCCGAGTCTCAAGGACATTAGAAGAAATTTATCTCGGTAGAGTTACCACATTTTTGACCACAGTATTAAGATATTAGATCCGGCCAATTGAAATAGGGCGTTGACAAATTGAATGGGAAAAATAAGTTTAAAAAACTGCAATTGAACACGTCTCGTCTACAGCGTGTTAATATTGCGAAGAATTTACTGGAAAATTAAAGATATTTCTCACTTTTATGTAATATTGGAGCCTCATCATTGCATGGTTTGCAGCTCATGTGTCCTTCCGCCCCCCTCCTAGATCCAGCCATTCTCCGGAATGAGCTTTTAAATTATGTGAGGATTGCATAATCAATCGCTCAACTTTTAGGTTATAGTCATCATTAGCTGAATCTAAGCCTTGACTTTTGACAGTGACTTTTACACAATAAGTAAGTCAGTTAGTTAATTTTATCAGAGATATTCAGAACTTCAGGCTATATGTCTTTACAAAAAGTGTGAAGGGCGAGTGCCTGTAACAAAAATTTAGATTCTTAAATTGATAGCAGTGCAGGGTCTCTAAAATATATTATCTCTGCCTCCAGCATTGCATGCTAGGATGTGCATTTTCCGGCTTTAGTCATCAATGTAAAAAGTGTACCGAAAAAAACGTGAAGTTGATTTGACATTTTGGATGTTAAAAAAGCGTACGAGAACTTATTAAATGCTGAATTACCCTCTGCAGCAGTTACTTCAGCGGTGCCAAGATGTGAAACTAACCGCTGTGACGGGTAATTCAACATTTTACAAGTTCTCACATGTTTTTTTTTTTTTTTTTTTTTTTTTTTTTTTTTTTTTTTTTACATCCACTTTTTTAAATCAATTTCACTTTTCTATGTGTGAAGGTTCGCATCGATGGAGCTCTTATGTGTGTCAGGAAATTGTGATTTAAGTACTTCATCTTACGTGGAATTTTGCGAGAAACACGATAATGCCACTGGCTTTTTCTGAAATTAACCCCAAAGCTCAAAGATAATTCTCAAAGTTGAGGCTGTAAAAGAGGGGATATCCCACGCTACCCTGAGAGTCCATCTCTATATCAAGACAAACTCTCTATGCAAAGATAGGGAGCAAATATATAAACAGGATCGCGACTTTGTTCGAGGACTTGAAAACACGGAGTGAGCTGAAAATTAATGGGTGCATCACATGGAGTGCATAGAGTCGTAATGTAAATGGGAGAGCTGGCGCCATGTTCTGATCGACGAGTTCCGAGTCCGGTGTGCGCCGAGCTTGAGTCAGTTTTTCGATACATGTTCGATCCAAAATGGCGCTGTGGGACACGTAGTAATTCCCATATTCTTTGCTTACATTGGATGGCCGATTCCTCGTGTATCGAAGACATTCGATTATGTATCGAAGAAGTGACCCGGCGTCTCACAGGAGCATCGGAATTCGAGACCTGGAAAATGCTTAAAAGTGGCGCCAGCTCTCCCACTTACATCGCGACTCTACGTACTCTACGGTGCATCAGGAGGATGGGCAATGGCTAGGAGGAGGAGACAAAGAGGAGAAGTTGAGGCAGAAAAACAGTTTCCCAGACGAAGCGCGGGTGACTACGATATGGGGTGCGGCGTGGAAAGGAGATTCGGTAGGTCAGCATCGGATTGACGGCGGAGGATTGGCCAATCGCGAGGATGGTTATCGGATGAAATCATGTGTGAATGAATGGGAGACACCACCAACACGAGCGGCATACCAACACTGTCACATCGAAGACACCTGTAACGCGGCGATTTATCTTACAAAACTCACGTCACGTCGCGTGAGTGTGCGTGTCCGGCGGAGGTGCAGACGCGACGGTGTGAGTGGGTAATACGTCGCGTCTGGGCTGAGGAGGGCTAGGAAATGGGGCAGAACTTGATGACGGAAATCGGTGTGCGGGTTATGAAAGTGAATTATGAATTATGATCCTTTCTTTCTTTCTTCTTCTTCTCCCTAAAGTGATAAGTGAGCGTATCGCTGCAATATCGGAGCGTTATTGAAGATATGTCTGGAATTCGTCTACCTTGGTTTTTCCTCGCGATCGCCCTACTCCCGGCCGACGGCGGCGGCGTGGGGCGGGGGGCGGGTCGCGACGCAGCAACACTGTAGATGGCGCTTCGATTTTTCCATTTAATGTACCAATAGCGCCCGGCGTTATTGGCCTATATAGTTATATATAAGACAATAACAATAGAATTCCTGGTTGTTGTCTTTGACTTCTCGTGGTTGCATGGCGGTCGAATCTACAGCCATGGTAATTGCTCATACTCGCCTATCAATTAATCATTCTTTGCCTTTTAGCTCTTATCATAATTTATACTCGTGAAGTGCTGTTCATCTCGATATTTTTCGGTCACTTTGACATATCCCTTTGTCGGGGGAAAAACAAGTGTTTGGTTCGTCACCGTCGGGTTCGTTTGCGCGGTGTAATCGGTATTCGGTGCCTTTCAAAATGTGTCGGGAGTTCGATCTCCAGAAACCAGCCGTTGGATACGTGAGCCTGGATAATCAATTTTGCGGACCAGGGCTTTAAGCTATTGGGAGCAGCTTTTTCAGTTCATTTTAACTTGCTGCATCATTGTTCTTCATTCTTGCTCTTTTCTACATGCAACTTTTGGACTATGGTTTTGTATATACTTTCCACTCTTCTATCTTTCGTCGGCAGGACTCAACAAAACTGCTTTTTTGTTCTTGTTTCGTTTTAACTGCTTCTATTAGGAGTTTTTTTCACCAACTCGTCGACGAAAGCAGAGTTTTGCCTTGAATATTATGGTCACGAAGTAAAATCTCTCTTGTTTTAACGTAGTTATGGCTATAAGTAGCGAAGGGAACATTACAATGGCACATTGAATATCATAAACGCTATTGCTTTGATAAGCATCGCAAGGATTTCGAACCTAGCTTTGCAGGAGAAGATTATCTGTGTCTTGGATTGAGCTTCCATAAATGTATGGGGATTGAAATATTGACTTTAAATGAATAAAAAATCACAAGCATGATGCAGAGAGTCGTTTTAATCGTCAAACATTACATACTCCAGAGCCATGATGTAAGGAGAACTTGGGCTTGAGCTGTTAATTATATCCCATAGGATGTTTATTCATAACCAATAAGGTATACACTGACACCCAAATCCTTCTAGTCGTTTATAAAATATTCCCAAGTTAGAAGATTCTTTTCAAGATACACATATTTTTTTTCGCTGTTCCCATCCTGACAACATCTTGCAATTAGGAACTAATTTCTGGCTCATTTTAGAAACAGCGAATATGTATTAAGCTTCCTTTTGCAAGTAAGCGCTTATGAGCCCGAAGTAGGTGTTCCTTATTGCACAGTTTAGTCAGATTATACATATTTGAAAGTTTTTCTGAAGAGATGGTAATGTTTCATGCATTTCTCATTTATGACTCAAACCTCTGAACCTTATAAAAAATAGATCCTTTTTCGTCGGAATCCTACGTATGAGTTTGAGCTGAGTACATATGACCCGGAAAAGAAAAAGTTTACCCTGATTAGAATAAAACGATTAGGCTATAAAAGTGCAGTAATCCCGCAGATTTCCCTGGATATATTGATGTAACATGGAGGTTCAATGCTCGACCAACAAAATGAGAAGATTTAGTATTGGGATTTACCCCGATCTAAACTCTAACTGGTCTTCTTTCCGCGTAATCCACTATTTTGTTGTTGCGGCAAAGTTAAAAGTTGTATTTTGAAATCCCCCAGATTAAATCTCTTCTTACATGAATACCTAGTGACGGAATAGTCGTTTTTGAATAGGACGTATTTCTGCCAAACGGAAGTACGTATGTGCATTAAGACATGAGCCTTGAGGCCCATAAGAATATAAGCACAACAGGGCTCACGTCATAGTGCACATAGTTCCGTTTGGTAGAAAGATGTCCAATATTCATTGATTCCGCATGACACACGATAGAGACAAAAAGAAGAAAAAGTTGCGCAAAACTTAAAGATTTTAATTCAAGGCCCCCTACCTTCAAGCGTTTAGTAATATTCTGTTAAATTTGCAAGGCTGATTAAATGGCATTAAAAGCATGGAATGAAGCAATCTTTTTGTTCGATTTTAGAGAATGAAAGTTGAGACGATCTTGACAAAAGCTTTATTCTGTATGTTGGTTGTGGACTAATTGTAAGATGAAAACTTTATTAAAATCATACGGATAAAAAGAGGCTGGGTTTGAGACTCCACTTATGTGATAACAAATCAGATTAAGATTGAGCATGCATACTCAAATAATTGTTGACGGATGCACATGTAGCATATTGAATAGGCAATACAACATGCAGAAAGTAACGTCTTAACTAAAACGACAGCTCCAGATCGAGTTCAAAATACGGCCTATATTTTCCCCATTTCACAGAGGAATTTTAGGCAAAACTCACTAAAAATTATGACTAACACGATAGTTACTACGTCAGTGCTGCATACATAAATGTTCACTGTCAGCCACAACAAAGGTACCTGACTGCATTCATGGGTATTTTACAGATCAGGCTGATGTCAGATTTCAATTAAATTTCATCTGCAAAATGGATATAATTTACAATTGTGACTAATCTAATAACGTCTTACTCTAAATTAAGAATATTATAAGATGAGATGCGAAAAAAGTCGTTTTCCTTCGACTCATAGATGCAATGATCGTATTACGTGTCGATATTTATCATTGAAATATTAGAACGTCCGTTCATTAGTTCCTTTTGTTTGAACTTTATTTAATGATATTCCTTACAATAATAACATAGTTGGTTTCCCGTCAGTAACAATTAGCAATCGTCATATTAGTGCATAGAGAACCGCTGTAATTAAACCTAATTAAATAAAGTCAAGGTCTGGTAATAGGATAAACCGCAGATAATAAGGCTTTCTTTGTGGTAGATATACGAGAATAAAAAAAAATTGACTGATACTAGTTTTAAAAATAAGTTTTGACAAAATAGGAACATGTATAGGTAGATTTTAATCCGGCGACTTAATGTATGTCTGCGAATTTTATGCTGACTTAAGTTCCACGTAGGTTTCCTAGAAGGGTCAGAAGACTTATTATTGCCTGCTAAAATATTAGCTCTTTACATTCGCGACTTGATTTCTCTAATTAATTAAAAATTTGATCACTAAGTTACTGAGCCGAAAGGAGTATTGTTTTACTCCTCAGATAAGCGTATTAAATGGCATGAAGTAAATTCAGTGGAGCACCCCCTAAAAGCGCAGTTTTAAGTTACTTAAAGTACTTAAAGTAAGGTACTTAATGGGTACCAGAGTTCCCCAATGATGAAGGCCAAGATGCTGTTATTCAAATTCGTCATAAGCTATAACTCATTTGAAATCGTTAGGTTCGAATTAAGGCCCCTAATACTTAAAAACTTATGAAAAAAATGTCATCATATGGTCAGACACACAATTTTCCAGATTGCAATTATCGTAAGTCGTCCTCGTAAACCCCATTCCACCCATTCTTATTAAGTGTCTGTCGTTCCTTTTTAGAACTAATCCGCCGAATGTTGCCAAATTGCCTTTTTGGAAATATTTATTTTTGAGGAACTTTATGAATATTTTTCCTTGAAATCCCGAGGCGTTTTAGATCAAATTGTGAGCAAAATCCTCCGAGACATTCGCAGAAAAATATTTACATCTTTTCCCGAAAATATGTGATTTATCGAGGGACATTTGGCAACGCCTGAAGGCTCATACGGCGTTTTTCCTTAGCACGGCATTAATCCGATAAGTTTTGGCTTGATCTGTCATTTTGCCTTTGTCATGGCTCTCATTTTTGGCCTGAAAAAATATTGAGAATGTAACTACAATTACTGGTGGCCTCAATGAAATCGTCATCGTGGTATGATCAGTAAATTAACTAAGATGTGTCGGACGTTGTGTTCTCAATTTTTTTTGTAGATTGATATACTACTTTCGTTACACCCTCAACATCTTGGCGTGCCATACATGACACGCTCTCTAACCTAAATAAATTTCATGGGATCTTAAGTCATTTGACCCCTCAACATCTCAGCGTGCCGGATAATGTACGATAGAGTCCAGTAAGACCTGAAGCTGCACCTAATTTATTTTCATCGTGCATGCTATTTTCAGGAGGCTCAGTGACTTCAAAATCTAGATCATTTTAAAATTTCAAAATGCAAGAATTCAGAATGTTAAAAGTCAGCACGTGGCCGTCAATGTTAGGAAGGACTGCGAATACAGACACTTATAAAGTTAATTAATTGATCCTAGATCATAGATTCGCATTCCACAACATTAGAGGACACGAAATGCTCGATAACGCCGGACTTACATGGATTCTTTTTCAAGGAAAAGGTCATGTTCTCTGTGCGGAGTATAATTGGAATACATAAATAGGACCACAAATACTAATGTTGCTTGTTGGTCACATGAAATTTCCGGGCAGGGTGGCATTAGGATGGTTTTTTGGACCAACTCATTTTTGTGAGCCTCTAAAAATTTCCTACTTTTGAGTGAAAAGATGGACCGAGTTTGAAGGAAACGGACCAATTCTCATTTTGGAATACAATGAGTAGTTCTGAGTTTAACAATCGTAAATTTTCTCCTGTCAAAAATTCAAAATCGAAAAAAAATATTACTTGAAAGAAGCCGTAAAACTTTGTCGGTAACACCAAATATTGGAGAAGATTACAACTTCACAAATATTTTTCCACGTTTAAAACTGATGTCATTTGGCGCGTTACTGCTGAACTCGGCCCTCGCCGATACTCGGCGTATAAAAAATGGGACTCATTGGTTTATGTTAGTTATTAGCCGAACAGACTGTCTGACATAGTAACCGATGAACGATTCCGAACTTTTATTCTCCCTCTACTTTCCAATATTCTCCTTTGAAATGTTAGTAAACGGTTAAACATTTTTAATTTCCATCAATATTCAGCTAGTTTTATGTGAGAAGGGGCTGAGGGTGATAGAATTTTCTTTGATTCCGTCAACCTCGTATACTAAAGATCCGATACACATGAAAACCGGCCTTCACTAATATCTCTCCCTTGGTGGAAATTGTTCTCAAATATCGTCGCCTTCCTGACATAAGGGCGTAACTACACTCAGCAATGAACCCCACTGCCCATACAATTCAATGCTTTCCGGGCTCGTATTGATATGCAGTTACGCCCTTATGTCAGCCAAGGGACGATATATGCCCTAAGTGGTGACAACATTTTACATTATTGCTGGCTATTGAGCTTTGAATTTAGCATTATTTTCAA